GGCGATTAGATTTATAATTCGAAAATTATAAAGTAGGGTAGACAGTTGGATATTATCCGGCTGAACAAAGCGAGCATTTATCAAACAGGTTAGTTTTCCAGAGACCGTATTTCAAGCTATTTTCCAAAATCCTATGGAGAAATCCCATTACTTTTTTGTCGAGGGAACCCATGCGCAGTTTATTTCCGAGTCGGCATAAATCATCCCTGCACCACTTTATGCCAGCTAATGTTGGGCTATAAAGGAACTACAGCCTGGTCACATGACTTCATGTCACCACCGCTAAGCTAATGCCTGCTAATGTCGAGCTATAAAGGAACTACAGCACGGTCACATGACTTCACGTCACCACCGCTAAGCTAAAGGTAGTAAGTAGAGTAATATTTTTGTATATCAATTTGACACTGCTTATTTTTTGTATTGTATAATAATTCTCATGTTAAATGTTTGTATTATTGTTTTACACATTCGAAAGAAATCTAATCAAATCAAACAGCTAAGCTAAAGGTGGCTAATGTTGGGCGTGATGGCGTTTAGTCGTCTAATTTAGTCACTTGTTAGCAACCGCCGCTTTAATGACAGATAGAAGCTTCAAACTAACACCATTGTGGTGTTTACTACTTTATTTAATGTTGTAGAACAAAACTTTAAAATCTTGAGAGCTTATGTAAACCACAGACCATATTTTGGTAAATGTAAATAAAACTGTTGTTAGTATACAATATGGAATAATTGTAGGTAAACATTTATTTATTTAAAAAAAGAACAATATACAGACAAACACAAACTGACCGTGGCAGGAACCCCATCCAGCTGTCGAGCTCCGTGATTGGACACTAGGATACCATCGACTCCATAGTGCACAGCTTGGACAGCATCCTCAGCTGAACACACACACACACACACACAGGTTAGGACACTCTGTGGACTTGATGGTACAGTTTTCCCCTGCTGTTGTGGTTGATTCCTACCTGAGGTGTGAGGGAAGTTTAAAGCGGTTGCGCATGTCATCCAATCGCCTCCCCAGGTAAGGTGTATCCACGGTGACAAATATGGCCTTATAGGCCGCCTCCTCTGCCCGGCGGACCAATGACAGAGTGAGCTCTCGGTCTCTGTAGATGTAGAGCTGCAGCCACATGACCCCGCCTCCTGTGGCTGTCATCGCTGACATCACTTCCTCTATGGTGGATGTGGCCCAGGAGCTCAGCATCATCCCTGTCCCTGCTGCTCGGCATGCTGGGTAGAAACATAATATAACATATTTTCCACCCTCTATAAATGTGTGGCATGGATGACGAGTTGTGTTGACTAGCTCTGTTGTATTTTATAAGAGCTGTAGCTCCCCTAATATTAAGTAAATACATAAAAGAAATTGAAAAAGTTGACAGATTACACATAATTGTATTATGTTAGTTCAAAGTAATAATATTAAAGCTCCTCTATCATGCAAAATGCACTTGATGTATTTTATACATTAATATGTGTCCCCGGTGAGTCAGGGAACTCACAAAGTGTCAGAAAATGCAACCCTCGCTCTCTTTTCCTCCGTACCCACATCTCTAAAAACGGGGGAACAACGGAGTTGATCCAGATTTGCTGCGGCCATGACGTAATTTCAGAAATGTGGGCTGGCTTTACGCCCAAGGCCCCATCTTCTGGTTGCGTTAGATTGGGGTCTGAGATTAAAAGTTCTTCTGAGCTGTAGCCTGCGGATTAAAAACTGTGATTTATATTTCATTTTCTAGTAGCACACAGCGTGGTACCTCTGGCTGTGGCCATCTCCCCCTCAGGGTGGGCCATCCTTTGCATGGCGGTGGCTCCCACACACACCGGCATGCTGAGCTTCTGTCCCAGCACAGAGACGGACAGGTCCACTGAGGAGACGTCCCTCAACACCCGGGGGAGGAGACGCCACCTGCACAACGTCACCAGTTCATTCTTTCAGACTGCTTCACACAGTCGGAACAACAGAGGTTAAACTGGATTAACTGTGGATAACGTGTGATAGCTGTGACACATTCAATGACACTCACACTCAACAAACTGTGTGTTTAATCTCTATTTTGCACGTTTCTATACTATTGTGAAATGATCAAATAGGAGGTGAAGAGTCCTAAACCTTTGAAATAAGTCATAAATCAACATTTTTGTGGAAGTTATTTGGTTAGATTTATGAAATAAGGTATGCGGGTAACAAAAGCTGAATACATTTTCTCCTTTTGTACTACAATTTAAAATACGTCAGGAAATACCCCACTGATGAATGTCAACATTTTTGTTTTAATCAGACGACTAAACGTCATCACGCCCAATATTAGCCGCCTTTAGTTTAGCAGTGGTGACGTGAAGTCATGTGACCGTGCTGGAGTTCCTTTATATCCCAACATCAGCCTTTAGGTTAGCGGTGGTGACGTGAAGTCATGTGACCGTGCTGAAGTTCCTTTATAGCCCAACATTAGCCACCTTTAGTTTAGCGGGGGTGACGTGAAGTAGTTCCTTTATAGCCCAACATTAGCCGCCTTTAGTTTAGCGGGGGTGACGTGAAGTCATGTGACCGCGCTGTAGTTGGAGTTTATATGTGGAGATTATCCTGCTGAAAAAAACGTTTAAGTATCATAAATGTGTGGTGACAGAGATTATTTACTGTTACATCCCAAAAAGCAATGGGTCAGCCTACAAATGTACGTCATCACTGTACCCATTATAGTTCCTTTTGCAATAACTCTATTCTGTGTGTTTGGTGTGTGTATTGAGTGTTTTACATTATAATAGTGATATTATGGGAACACTGGGTCACATCTGGAACTAAATCCGCCTCAAACAGCTGGTCAGTGAGGGAGTGTGTGAATGACTACGGTAACTGTCCAAACGGAAATTATATTCACTCAGTATTCCCTCCAATAGGGTCAGTGTTTATAACATCTTACCTACTTTAAACACATGTTCAGACTGATTAAATTAATGATTTAGGACCATTTAGTCGTAAGGGTTATGTTAGTTTTAGGGTATTTGGTAAGTTTTTTTATTTTCTAATCTTTCTCTGTGAACTATTTCCAATTTTAGATAACTTCATAATATTGTTGTAGTGGCTTAAAAGTTTCTAGAGCAGCCACTTCCAACATACGGGGGTGTGATTTCAACGCACAAATAGTCCAAAACGATAATCAATTTTGTCAAGATTAATCCATTTATTTTCCATTGCCGCCGCATACATCTTTCCTTCTCAGTGTGTCTGCTGTGTGTGGTTGAACTGGTTTAGCTTCCCCCGACTAACACTAACCCCTTCCCCATAAACAGACATAATATAGCAAATAGGAGACCAAGGGGTGTCAACAAATATATTTGGGGGCGTGAACAACTAAGGTGAGTAGGTAAGTATTTAACAATTAAAATAAAAACAAAACTTATATAATAAACTCAGTTAAATGGCTCCGACAATTGTAAATCAAAATGTGAATCTGTTTAGTGTCTGGGCTCATATTCTAAAGTGCTCATCAGGGTGTGCTGTTTCACATACTGTATCTCCATTCTGTCTTATGATTTCATATATATTTTCTAACTTTTTGTAAATAAATAAATAGAATGTTGGGCCGCCATAGAGCTCAATAGCTAGAGATGGCGGCTGGGGCCCTGGGCCATTTGCCACATGTCATCCCCTCTGTCTGCATCTTTCAACTCTTACAATAAAGACACTGGTAGCCCAATTAAAAAAAAAGACATTGATTTGAATTAAATCCACCCATCATTGGACAAACTTAGTGAGCCAGATCGTGACAGTCTGCTGGGTTAGTTGGACTTTAACCAGTCGCAAGGGACTTTATCATTGGGATCAGTGTACCAACACTGATGTTTGCTGAACCAGAGATGATGAAACAGTCAGACTGATGCATAAGGTGATATAGAAGAGTTGACTTTATAGACAAAGGGAAATTAAATTAAATCTCTTGGCGTGGAGCCTTCAAAAAGTGTTGAGTGAGGTTTGACAGATTGATATATGCCATTGAGATAAGATTACAGTTATTAAAGGTTTAGGCAAACATCTTCTCACTGTCCTTACTGACAGTTTGATTTTAATACAGTTTGTTTTGTGTAAACTGTACACATGGCTCCGATACAGAGGGACTGTGGACTTGAAGCACAGTTGATGATTTAAACCGTTGTGTTTTAAACTTCTTGCAGCGTTTCATTAAGGCAGCACTTTTAGTAAACACGTTTGGTACGTTGGTGAAGACGTTTCTCCTAATGGAAGTGTTTTGGGCCGTTGTTACGCGTTTGCACCTGTCAGCCACCGTACATCTCGCACTCAGTAGGCCTATACACAAAATATGAAGTCCAGAACAAACCCAGAGGATTATGGGCATTGTGGTCATCATGTACTTTATACCTAACATCTACTAACATATCTTAGTAAACACACACTTACAGGACTGTCTCAGAAAATTAGAATATTGTGATAAAGTTCTTTATTTTCTGTAATGCAATTAAAAAAACAAAAATGTCATACACATTCTGGATTCATTACAGGGGATAGG